GCGAGATTGAAAGAAGCGTTTGCCGCTAAACGGGAGTCGGAAAGCACTCTCAAAACCGTCAGAGCAGAGAACGAGCGGTTGAGCCGAGACGTCGTAGCCTACGAGAATCAGAAAGCACTGGCCAGGCAGACCAAGAGCGGGGCGCAGATCACTCTTATGGCGCAGGAACTGGCTCGAGCTTTAAAACTCTTCACCGAAATAGCCACATTGGGCCTTGACGAAAAGCATCGCAACCTCCTGAATGAACTCGTCCTTGCGAATAAAGCGGTGCGAGATATCAGATCTACGATCGAGGAAGGCGCCGTGGTCGACTATGAGGATTTCCAGGCTAGGCTGGATCGAGTTGTCGCGAGCTCCGATGCGTTCGACTATTTGGATCCGAGAGAGCGACCAGCGCTGCATGCACAACTGGTTGAATCCTATGCGGTTGTTGGTGGTCTGACCAAAATCCTCGCGGGCGAGCGCGGAGATGTCATGAAAGAGGATATTCTTGAGAGGATATACAGAAACAGTGATAAGGGAAAGGGAAAGCAAGGCGCCGTCACTGGGTCAGGGCCGGCTTCAGGACCATCATTTGGTGCAAATGGCGGCTTAGATGCGGCCCCATTACTCCAACTCAATGGAAACAGTACTTTCCCATGCGATCTGAATGATAATCCTCAGACCCCCTTCAGCAACACTTCCACATCTAACAGCACACAAAAACCCACCGAACATCCATTCACAACCACACCGAAGCCTACAGCGCCAGGGTCTCAGAACGAGCCTGAATATATGGACTCTGCGACAGCGCATGCTCTCCAAGGGACGGATGCATCGATTCAGGGTACGTCTGACCCCTTCGATCTTGACTCCATCGACTGGTCCGATCCCACGTGGCTGGATTTCGGTCCATGAGCTAAAGCACATTTCAGAGCAAGCTCCTGCAACGCAGGGGGTACGTGCGAATGAACCAAGTAAAGCCTCAAAAGAGCTGGAAAACATCCTTTCCAAGCTCCGAGATAGTAAGTTGGATCTCAAGGATGAAGCGAGTATACATAGCTCACAGCTCTGCAGATGCCGCGATCGTACAGAATCAACTACACCGCCAAGACGGCACCGAGATGGATCTGTCTCCGCTGCCGGGACCTCTCTCGCTGCAAGAACGGGTGCAAGGCCCCGAGCAGCCGGCTGGATGGACAGATGTCATGACGGGTTGGGTGCGGTATCTGCTGCAACAGGGTACGGAACTGAGCGCCGTCGAATCGGGTATGCGATCGATCTTTCCAAGCATCAATGATATGGTGGGGGTGAAGCAGCACTTGGAATACATCAAGACGGAGTGGGAAGGTCGAGAGGTTTAGGTGCAGCAGGCGCAACGTCGCCACTTCTAGGTGATGATCCTCCTTGCCCAGATGTCTCATTCCTACCGTTGAGAGTGTCGGTATTGTTCTGCTTGGGGAAGTTGATGTCAAATGGGTTCTGCTTGCACGGAGGGAGGGGAATCGGTGATATCACGGTGTGCAGTAATGGAGGGCAGGGGAGTCGGGCTGCGAAATGTCTCGGATGAACTTGAGGAGCGGGATCAGCTTTGCGGCTTCGGTTTTTTGTACTGGTACCATCAGGTATCGCTTGGCTTTCTGTATCCGGCGTGATGCGGCCATCTCTACATATCGCATAGCATCTGAACATATCACTCTTGAAACCATTTCCAACTCTCACAGGGCCTCGTTGAGACCCGACTGATTTTCCTTGGGTTCCTGAATTCTTGCCTGTTCTACTGCATCTTTCGGGATTATACATAGGTCACGTTGTATATGCAGAATGGTTCGATTGGACGGCCGAGAAACGGGTATGACTGTAAGGAAGATCACGCTAGGGCTTATCAGTTGATATCGGCCAATCAGATGCTCAGGATTCGTGATGTCGTCGGTGTTCTGAGCCCTGACGATGGTGAAGGAACCCTGCTGCCAATACCATCTCTAGCTCCCGCGATGATCCAACGATGGTTTCAATCTGGTTCTGGCACCCGTGCTGTAAATACATTTTTACGATCAATGAGCATTTGCCCTCTGGCATCTGTACTTGGGTACATGCACGCGGTGGCCGAATGAGTACTAGCGAAGTCTTTGCTCAGCCTCGTAGCCTTTGCCATCTCACCGTCTTACCCCTCTTTCTCCCTTGAGAATCAACAACCTAACGTCACCGCATTCCTCTCACACAATGGCGCCATATCAATATTCTCCTCTCAAAGAAGACCTCAATGAGATACGAGTCCTGATACTACAACCAGGCGACTTCACCGCAGATCTACACATTTCAATCCACAAAGTCGGATTGACGCTAGACGATCCGCCCATCTACGAAGCGCTGTCCTATGTGTGGGGTACAACAGACAATCCAGTTGACATCAGGATCGGGCCTTCAGGAGAGGACAGACTGGCTATCACACAGAATTTAGCCGTTGCCTTGCCGTATCTTCGGTACCAGGATAAGATTCGAACACTTTGGATTGACGCTATCTGCGTCAACCAACAGGACCTTCGCGAACGAAGCAGCCAAGTGAAAAAAATGGCCGATATCTATCGCTTAGCTGACCACGTAGTCGTTTGGCTGGGGACTGAGAAGGACAATAGTGCTCACATTTTGAGGATCCTGTCACAATTGAGTTCCGAGATCAAAGTCGACTATGAACTTGCCACAATGTCGCCTGCGTCTTCAGACTCCGTCCCAGATTGGAGCGACCGAAGCCTTCCCCTACCATATTCCATCGATGAAATTTGTAATATAGCTTCTTTGCTCAATCGCGCCTGGTTCTCGCGGCTCTGGGTTTGGCAGGAAATTCGGCTCGCAAGGAACAATTCAATCGTCATTTGTGGTTCAGACACTATCTCTTGGCAGTCTCTCCACCAGGCCATATTCTGCTTTTATTACAAGCAATGGGCCTTCGACAGCCTCTCCCCAGACTCCGGCCAAGTGCAAGCTCGACTACTGTATTTATTAAACATAAGCGACGACACCACCAGCTACCTCGCTTTCGGTGACATTATCCGGCGAAGCGCTCCATGCAAATGTTCTGATCCCAAAGATCGTATCTACGCCGTTCTGAGCCTACTCGACAGATCAGTAGAGGGCATCAATATCGAGCCTGATTATACGAAAACGACCGCGCAAGTCTACCAAGACGTGGTTACACGACACGTCGAACATCATAAATCCCTCGGAATGTTGAAATACTGCGAGCTCCGGAATGACATGCCAGCGGAGATGCCAACCTGGGTACCGAACTGGACTGTCGCAGATACAGCGACGCCCCTCTATAGCTGTGGTAGGGCATGTGGCCACAGCGAGGCCAAAGCACAATACAGAGAAGGCGGCATTCTAAGCGCCACAGGTGTTATCTCTGCATCCATCTCAAGCGCTGATGAAATGGTCTTTCAGTGTACTTACAGAAGCATGGCCGATGAGATACGGAGGATTGCGCCTAGAAACATCGAGGATAGTCCATACCCTGCAGGTAGCAGTCTGATCGACGCTTTTTGTAGTACCATGTGTGTCAATAGCTTCAGCGACACAATTCGGCCGCCTCAGCCGGTTCTCCCCCAATTCGAAAAGAGCCGAGAGTTCGTACTGGCAGTGCTCCGAGACCACGATCGACATCCGAACTCTACCTTGGACTCTGATGAATCAAAATACCTCGGCGGGGTTGCGAGTGTGTGTGAGAATAGATCATTCATCACGACGGAAGGGGGGTATATAGGCGTTGCGCCAAAGGCCACTAAGCCAGGCGACCAGGTCTGCGTCCTTCTTGGTTTGCCTCAGCCTTTGGTTCTTCGTCAAACCTCAGGTCTTCGATATCAAGTAGTGGGAGAATGCTACGTCCACGGACTGATGAACGGGGAAGCTGTTCTAGATCCACTTCCGGACAATTATCAAGCTATCCTTTCTTATGATCAAGGCTTACGCGGTTACCAGTACGCTTTCCTAGACAAACAGACCGGGAACACTCAATATTATGACCCAAGGACGGGGGAAGGTGGGCTAGGTGGCCAGATCGACAAAGAAAGCATTTGGGAGACACTTCCCGATGGTTCAGAGGACCTGGTATTGACGTCGGATATGTTGAAGCGACGGGGAGTCAAGTTGCAAGATTTCGACCTCATTTGAATCAAGCTAGCTCCAGAACGGACTGATAGCGGCAAGCGTTGTGCCAATTGCAGCTCAGCCAGAAGTTCTCTGACGATTCCGGACACGAGGATAACACGCACGACGAATCCTCATGTGGCAGAGCAAGACAAGCTTTTGGAACTGAAGAGGTGACGTTGCCAGACATTTTGAACATTCCTCGAATTATACGAACGGAGACATCAGGCTTTTTCGGCAGTGAGGCAGTACAGTCCGTAGGCTGGGTTTTAGATATATAGCGTAATGAAACCACTGTTATGAACGATTGAAACAAGAGCAAAAAGACAGCGACCTCGTGCTGGGAAGTACTCCGCTCACGGACTGTAGAGTACTTTACCAACAAGGGCTGCTCCGATATGATGAGCATGCACATTGCGCCGTCACGGCGGCTAAAGAAATCAGACCATCTCTCACAGACTACTCCACTAGACCACGATTGACACCAACAGGCTTTATTTTTCTCTTACATTCTTAGGTTGCTTTCGATTACCAATTTGAGGATCCGAAATGGGTTATGTGACAAGTAGCAGTGTGAGGGTGAGTGTAAATGAGGGCACCCTACACAGCTGCAAGCATCCGATGTCCTTACTCTGTGACGTTCGCTCTCCGGGAAGACAGGCATGAGGTCTCGATGCGGTCCTGGCGTTCAATTCGGGAATGGATTTCACACGCAATTATTTTCACGGGTAGCTAGCTACCTTTGAGACAATTGGTACAAATCAGGAGGAGACAAAAAGGCATTGATTAAGCGCTTGCAGAGCCAAGATCTCTCCCGCATTATTCTTTCGACCGCTCCTCCGCGCCGTCCTCCTACGTCTTGTCGTAAGTTGTTGACATTACAGAGAGACAACCACCTTCTTGGCGGACACCCCCTTCCTCTGAAGGTCAAACGCGGCTTGGATGTGCTCGAGCCCCTTCCCCACGACCTGCGGATCGGGAGCGGCGACATACTTGCCGTCTGCCAAGGCCTGCGGGAGGAAATCCACGTAAACGGCCTTGCCGACTTCGTTGTAGAGGAGCGTGGAGCCGAAGATGAAGTTGTACCGTATGCCTCGAGTTTTGGACTTGACCCAGATGTTCGCCAAGCCGGAGAGGTAGGAAACCATGATGGTGAGGACGACGAATCTTTTCGGGGGTGGCTGCGGCAGGGGGTACGTGGCCATGGAGATGAATTTGTCGCCGTTGCACTTGGGGAGGATGTCCAGGCAGTTCTCGGCGGCGCGGTGACCGATGGAGAGGGCGCCGGCGGTCGATTTGCCTTCGAAGGCGCGGATCAGGTCGGCGACGACGGTCGGGCTGTTGTAGTCGAAGGCCTGGCTCGCGCCGAGCTTTTTGACGTAGTCGAAGTTCTTCGGGGAGCAGGTGGTGATGACTTCGTAGCCGGCCGCGACGGCGAGTTGGATGGCGTTGCAGCCGACGCTCGTGGAGCCGCCCCAGACGAGCAGGGTCTTGCTGGTCGGCTTTGGGGTGGCGGATGGGTGTTGGAGTCCCAGCTGGTCTTTCTGGAATAAACCGCAGGCTGCCGTGGACACGCCCAAGGGAAGGACAGCGGCGCTTTCGTAAGATAGGTCGCTGGGAATCGGCGATGTCCCGTTGATGGTGAGGACGGTGTATGTCTGAAAAGCGCCGTGGGCCGGGCTGTTGCACTGCTGATCCGATCCGTTGGCGTGGCCGACGACGCGATCGCCTACTTTGAAGCGAGTGACGCCGGGGCCGATCTCGACGACCTCGCCGGCGACGTCCAAGCCGAGGATGAATGGGTACTTGAGCCAGGTGAACATCATCTTGCCCCTTTCCTGTATGATCCAGTCAACTGGGTTGATGGCCACTGCGCCCTGAAGGGAGATTCCAAGTCAGCGTTCCCCCCTCATGATATTGTTTCCGAAATGTGACGAGCACTACATGTATCTCATCCGGCATATACACTTCCTCAAACATCCCTCGCGACTCATACGCGGTACTCCGTGGGAGAGAATGACTCTGAGTAGTACTTACGTTCTTGATGACGATCTCATCCTCACGTGGGGATGTGTATGGTGCGGACTTGACCTCCAGAGTGTTGACGTTTGGTGCGGTCTGCCATGCTGCTCTGTTGGAAGGCATTCTGGGCTTGAGCGAAGAGGTGGAAAGAATGGGATTGTTTCAGATGGTAAAAAGATGAGAGGATTTCTGATGGTGGAAAACACAAGACGAAGGAGAAGCCTCTTTATACCACATAATCAACATCTTCTTGGACATTAGTACTTTCGGGATCAGACGGACTTGAGGTTCATCCGTGTGCGAGAACTGGTTGTATCCATGGAGTCAATGTCATTTCAGATGAAGATAGTGCCTCAATTGATACGCAGTACGATTTCTCGATCTCAATAGCGTGCCGATTCGAGGATAGCGCAATCGTGGAATACGAGACGAGGTTAGCGCAGTCATGGAATGCGAAACGAGGTTAGCGTGGGATCTGTCCCCTGCTTTAGACCAGAGGCGTATTCGTATACGTAGTAAGCAAGATGAAGCCAGAGCTGCGGCGAAGAAACCTTGCTGCTAGCAGGCCGATCGACCTAGACAATCATAGCGACATTTTCGCTCTGGTCGTATCATATGTCCACCGATAGAACCTCTATCGATAAATACTCAAGACCATAGGCATGGAGACCGATTTTCCCACCACCATTTCTATATCCTCTCGAGATGCAGTCATGACCGACCGGTTGCCCTCATCTGAGAAAGACATTAATCGCAAACTCAAGGCACACAGAAAGTCTCGGCGGGGATGCGGTAATTGCAAGCTTCGCCGTGTCAAAGTAGGTAGGCCACAACGATTATGGAATCGTACAAAGAACGTTGACTAAAGCCACACCTGTAGTGTGATGAGAGTAAGCCAAGATGCAAGAAATGCACATCGTTTGGCGTCTTCTGCAATTACGATTGCCAGTACTCTGATCTCCAGCTGTCCGTTGGCGGGGCTGCCAACATCGAAATCTTGCAGATATTGCCATACTCACTGAAGCAGACCCTTCCTAGCATAATCGCTCCGTCATTGAGATTACAGTCGACAGGATCTCTGAAAGGTAGCAATGTGCTATATGAGTTCAGAGAGGAGGACCAAGCGCTGCTGAAGAAGTTCCAAACGAGAACGGTCTTCACTATGACCACTGACAAAAATCTCCACCTGTATCAAATAGAATCCTTCAAGCTCGCCTACTCAGTATGTATTCCCAGAGTCATGTCTGGCGAGCCCTACTGACCTTAGCGGTTCAGCACCCGTTCTTAATGCATGGGATACTGTCGTTAACACTTATGCATGACCGCTACCTGTCCGCCGCGCCAAACACCAAACTATCCGTTACCGAGGCTTTTCATTGGTATCAAAGTACAGCATTGTTCAACAGCAAGCTGTCTGCCCCAATTGACCCTTCGGAGCGAGATGCCCTCTGGGTTACTGCTGTTTGCCTCGGTGTGATAGTATTCTTTTATATCGAGGCAAAGACGCCAGAGGAAGCGTGGCCCCTCAAGCCACCTTCGTCTTTGGATCTCAATTGGCTCAGCTTGAGCGAGGGAAAGAAGGAAGTGTGGAAACTTACTCGACGTGCAGAAGGGAAAAGCGTTTTTCAGACGCTGATCCCCTTTGAAAATACGAAGCCGAAAACATCCTCTTCCACAGTACCTGGAGTGGAGGCTCTGCCTTCCGAATTCATTGACCTCTGCGGTTTTGACGCCGCATCCACTTCCGACAACAATCCCTATCACGCCGTCGCAACTGCTCTAGCAAAGTCGTTGAATAGTGACTGCAAGCTCACCACCATTCTGGGCTTTCTGTCTTTCATCACCAATATGCTCCCAGAGTACAAGCAATTACTGAAGCAGAAAGATCCATGTGCGCTTCTGCTGCTGGCGTATTGGTACGCGAAGATGTGCCAGTATCCACATTGGTGGATTTTTGGGCGGGCGTCGCTAGAGGGTCAAGCGATCTGCATATACTTGCAAAGGTATCATGGAAACGAGACCGGGATTCAGAAGCTTCTGCAGTTCCCGAGGATGATGTGTGGTGTTGTGCCTTGATGAGGTCATGAAAGCGTAGTAGAGAAGCAAGGACTCTATATAATGGTGGAAGACACCAGAGGGCACGTGAAACTTGAGCATCTTGTTCACAGAATCCAATCTGTACGCAGAGTGGGAAGGAAAAAGTTGGACCCAACACTAGAATTCATCCCGAGGAAAAGCCGTCAGCTAGTCCCATCTGAGGCTCTGCATTCCTCGCAGCCTACCCGCCGCTTTAAGGTACAGTCGCTCATCAAGCGCCCGCCGCTAAAAGCGGCAGCAGCCTCCCTGCGCTTTGTTCCAGACTCACCAACCACCTGAGTCCCTGATCGATCAACAATCGCAGCTCGAGGCAGATTACCGAGTAAGGAACGATACCGCCATCCCCCGAGGAAGCTCAACGACGTCAAACAAGATCCAATTCTCTCCCCAAAGCCACCTAACCCACTTTCCGCAACCAACAAAGCCCCGCCCAACCGCCCCACCACCACCACCCCACTTCCACCCCCCCACCCCCCATAAACAAAATGTGCAAAGGCGGCACCTGCGACAAGTGCCGTGCGCCCTCTTCTCTTCATCCCGCCTTCTCTCTGACCCCCCTCCCCCCCGGATCCGCTCATACCTCTACATAAACACCCAAGCTGACCTACCCTCCTTGCAGAAAAGTCCTCATGGTGGGGCTGCGGCCAGCACGTCCCTATGGTCATGGATAAGCTTCCTAAGGAGTCGTGGTGCACCTGCGAGCCCAAGGTCGAGAAGGAGGGGACGCGGTATCCGCCTATGGCGCCGAAGGCGGATTGAGCGGGGGGTTGGGGTGGGATGGTGGGGTGGGGATGGGGATGGGGAGGGGGAGGGGGGGGATGGGAAGGTGGAGGGGAAGGTGGATATATGTGATTGCGATTTTGGGGGGATGATAGGGGCTGTATCTGGGTATGGGTTACTCGTGATGGGATGGGATGGGCTAGGCTATCATAGCGGGGGTATTGAGTGGAGGATGTCATACGTGATTTACAAATTGTACGATTGCAATGCACGGTCTTTAGCAAAATGTTCATGCCTCACCCTTCCGTCTTCCCAAGCTTCGACCCAGCACCCGGCTCCCTCATCAGGAAAGGCTTATGCTCCATCCCACGTCCACCATACGGTCTCGTGTCAACGAACATCCCGTCCACTTGCTCCCATCCGTGTCTCAGGTACAACGGCAGACCAGCCGGCGACGCTTCGACGTACGTTTGGGCTCCGGCTTCGTCTGCGGCTTCGAGGCCGGGCCGGATGAGCATGGAGCCGAGGCCGCGGCGGTGGTGGGAGGGGTGGACGGCGAGGAGGTGAAGGACTGAGATGTGCGTTCTGTCTTGGGGTGATAAGGGATTGGAAGGTTTGTGTGATGAGGGAGAAATTATGGGAACCCTGAATTGTGTTGTCTCTGGCGCTAGAACCGCAGGTTTCGTTGCGTCTCACTGCAACTAGACTACTTTTGTATCTTAGAAAAGGCTATCGACATTCGAAAGCGCCTGGGTAAGCTACCTAACAGCCTTGGCAACAGCTGAAAAAAACTCTACGATATTTGAAGAGTACGAGCCGGAAGACCGCAGGCGTCTGGACATTGCATTGAGCCTGCTCCTCGTCCCTCATCGACCGACGGACCCTGGAACTCTCACCAAGTTCGTCTTCTGGGATGGCGAGGAAGATGAAAAAGATGAGGATGATGGAGATGGGGACGAGAAAACGAATGCCTGCGCTACGAGCGATTGCGATGGTGATCTGGAAAATCTCAAAGATAGAAAGGCGCAAACATATTCGATGGATCGAAGACAGCGATGGGTACGAGGACGATGAGCCTGACGTCCAGCGTTTTGAAGGTGTTACAAGATTATGTTTCGACTTGGTCATTTTCGACGGTGCAGCGCACGTACTCCGTTTTGCCCATACGTCGGTTCAAATTACATTGTCAACCACAACCTGATGTCCAAATGATACGTGATAGCCATGCGCGCTTGGCCGAGCGCTGCATCCCAATTCCGCTTCATTCAACCCAACCCCGCAGCGACATCTTTCCCAAGGTCCCCATTGAAGAAAATCAGCCACCGACACGCCAAGGTGGGTTCAGTAAGATGTACGGCTTAGAAAGCAGAGAGAGGAACGGAAGCGAGGGAAGTGTAGGAAAAAGACCGGATTTGAGACTCATGGATGTGAGGCTGCTAACGGACACTGAGGTGCGTCGGACGCGGTTGACCAGTGACTTTGGAGGAACCAGGTATTTTGTGGAGATGGAGTGAGGCGAGTTCACGATGTTATTTAATAAGCTGTAGTGGTGGATAATGGGGTTTCACACAGAGAGATTCAGATTACGTTCTCATCACGCTCTGGCTCCATGAATTAGATCAAGAGATTGTTTTCGAGCACAAGCGCCGGATACCGGAGCGACGCCGGTTGCAAAGAGGAGAAGCACTGCCTGACTCAGCCATAGTCCCCAAACTGGGGCTATGGAGATTCGATGAAAGCCCGAAAGACAACTCAAGATAAGTCGAGACTACGGTCTCCCATCTCCGGGTGGCCAGGTCTTGCAAGTACCCGACTTTGGGTATCTCGACCTTCCTCTGACGACGGAGAAGGTTTTACCGGAAAAACTTTTACCGTTTGTGGATTTATTCGGGGCGTTCGACACTGCTAATAGCGGAGATGTTCGGTACGTGATATCTCTCAAAGGACTCGAAGGCAGATTTCAGATCCAGTTTGATTGCCAGTCCTGGGGGACAGTGCGACCTTGGATGTTTTTTTCGGCTTGCAGATTCGGACTGACGAATTGTGTTTAAACTTGGACGGAGGCTAAACATCGATTAGCTAGGACAGCACAGAGATTTTCGTTTGTAAGTACTGCACTAAGATCCTAATGGACCACGGGGCCGATATCCATCACGTTTTTCGACCAAGTCCCCCTAGTCCGTTGTGCAAAGCGGTAGCCACTGGGCAGGAAGCTATGCTCCAGTTGCTGCTAGAAAAGAATCCTAAAACTGTCACTCATCCAGAATCTAGTATGTCTTCTCCGCTATCCTGGGCTCTATTTACAATCCACCCAACGCTGTTTCCATCGCTCGTTTACTGCTCAACCACGGAGCAAGTGCTAACAGAAAAATGCGACAAACTTCAAGATTATAGACATCTTCATTTGGCAGTCAGCAGGCAACCCATTGGGTATAATCGACTTTCTGCTAGACAACGGTGCGGTCATCGATGCTCGGGACCATGGTGATCCGACACCGCTTATGATCGGCATAACAGAAGACAGCCTCGAAAATCGCAGGCTTTTGCTAGCTCGTGGGGCTGATGTGAACCTCCTAGACGTGGATGGTGACGGCCTGTTCAACTTGGCCGTGCTCGAGATAAAAAATGCTCTCCTTGCCGGGCTATTGCTGAAATACGATGTCGACATGAATGCAAGAAACAAGTTTCGAGGATCGGCGCTGCATCTAGCTGCTGGTCGGGGCTAAGTGGACTCTGCAAAATTACTGATAGATTGTGGGATCCACATTATCGCAACGAACGTACAAGGTAAAACAGCGCTCCACGTGGCTTCTAGATGGGGTGAGGAGGAGATAGCTCAATTACTCATTGCCTCCGTAGCCGACTCCAATGTCACCAACGTTTACGGGCGCAAAGCGTTATTGACTGCAATCAAGGGGGGGCATCTCGAAACCATCAAGCTACTGATTAAAACACATACTGACATTGATCAACAAAACGTCAACGGAGACATAGTTCTGAGCATTGCAGCACTTCACGGTGAGGGAAGCTTTGGACGATCTCCGGCTCGACGCTGGCACCCAACTTGTTCCCCAAGACCCTGGACCGCATTGTCCATTCCTTGACCCGGAGGAGAAAGTATCAGGTTACGGCCGAGACGCTGTGCTCGCCGCTTTGGAGAACGAGAATTTCAATGTCGTTAGGATGATTATGAGATTTCCCGGTGGCCGAAACAAGGGGGGCGAATATGCAGAGGCATTGGGAATGCTAGATGCCAAAGACATGGACGCACTGAGGAGGTGGTTTGCGATTAGCCGTGCTAATGCGCCCACCACGCCAGAAAGCCGACCCCACATTCTTGGTATCAGAAAACGCAATTTCGTACCACAGCTCGTGACTTGGTAGATGGATACAAACGAAGAGCTGCTGCAGAGCTAGAGAAACCATATGTGGAAAGATTGGAATAAGCTTGACCTGGCCAAGAATGAAATGAAGACTGCTGTCAACATCTTGTCTGGAGGCGACCGGCATAGCAGTGCACGATTTGGGTCGATAAGTCTTCATTCATTCATTCATCGAGATTGATGTGACTTGCCTTTGGAACTTTCACTTCTTGGTATCGTGTTGGCGGCTGTCAATGCATGAGAGCTTGGCTACTAAGGCCATTGGAAGGGGACGCTGGATGCTGCTGAAGTGTCCCAATACAACATATCCCGAGCTTCAAGAACGCTGAAGGGCGGTCGCTCTGAGCAGCTTGGCGGATCTTATATAGTGAGATTGGGCCTCTGGCTTCTTGAGGGGATTGATGGTTAGACCTAGACCTTGACCTTTGAGCTCATTTTGGTTATGTTTGTTTCTAGACACCAACAGTGGCAGTAACGGGGTGTGCACTTTCTCACCTCCTAAAGGAGAGCTGGGTATCTTTCAGCTTGATGCAGTATTTGGCGATCAGTCTCCCCAAACGCAATATTTGCCCGTCCTCTCCAGCTTGTCACTTCCGTCCCCCGTCCTCGCCCTTCACAGAAACCTTCATATAGTCCTACCTACAGCGTCTCTGGCCTCATGGATCGAATGGACGGTACACGGCACTGAAGATTCTAGGAAACCTCCCATGAGGGCGTTGTCTTGTCGACATGCTCGTAGATCTCGAGGCGCGTTGGGCTTACAAACGACTGTTAACTGTGGTTCGCTAACAAGGATGGTGCGCGCGATCGGTAGGATGTAACGCTGATTTTTCGACATCTGTATCTGGGGACGGATCCTCTATCTCGAGCGTATACGCATCCTCATTCCCGAACCCTGCGTGTCAAGGCCAGCTAGAAAGGGTGGCCTGATCTTGCAATCAACGCTATCCCCTGTCTTGCATTTATTGAAGACCCTGCTGGTGTAGGTGAATTTGGCAAAATGCTGGCGCGAGATACTGGCAAAAGGGAGCTTTCGGAGGGCTTGGCGTAGTCTTGGCACATACTAGGGTTAGGGCCCGTATACTAGCGCAGAGATTATCATGAACTTCATCTCGTCTTTCTTTTTGCAATAACTGTCAGTAATGGCCCATGAAACCGACTTCAACATTGGATATTTGCGAAGGTTGAGTTGTTTGCGCTCACTGGCCAACAAACTGGACTCGTACTCTTTTCTGGCATGCTTATCTATCGAGATGCAGCTCTACAGCTCTTCGGATATGCTCAGATAGGTCATTATAGGTTCATCTTCGGCGGTCTATCTCTTGCCCGCAAGTCTTCAAGCATCGCAATGGCATCCTCTTTCGGTAGACCACCCACCAGCCTCACTCGACATGTCGACGCTGGCAGAATATCCACAACACGCTCTGGCTCGACGAGTACATCTGCTCCCGGCTCTATGTAAATTATGTCTTCCTTTTATCCAGTACAAGAGTCAGCGCCTTCGATCTATTTGTATAGCGTCATCGTTTCCAGTGATCCTTTCCGAGACCTCGAACGCGCACAGGCTACCGATGCAAGGTTCAGCTTTCTCGAAGAAGAGGTTCTCAGCACGTTGCATGTCCGAAGAACCAGTAAGTTCGAGATGGCAGAGAGTCTTTCGGGTGTAGGTCTCCAAATATCCAACGATCTGGCGCGGCTCGCACTGCGCATCGTCCAGAGAAGCGCCAGCCCAGGAAGTGTAGATAAACCTCTTCGGGCCCTTAAATGAGCAAAGTGTGATCGAAAAAAGCGCTGCATCGATGGCGCTTTGGTAGAACTCGAGACTTGCCACTTTTGAGGGATCAATGAAGCCTTTCTGGCAAGATTCGATGTACTCCCCCTTCAATTCCTCGGCGTCCTTTGTTTGTCCTCATTGAGGGGAGCGCCATGAAGCCTTAGAAAATCCCATAGCCGGCACCGCATTATTCGTCGAAACCATGCATTCCCACGTCTGTCAACTTGCTGAAGGAGTTGATTCCTGCGAGGTCATGAATGTGGGATACGGCCGCGCGGAGCAAGGCCCCTCAAGTCAATACGAAGGGTGAATCCTCCGGGACTCGGTTTCTGTCCACGAGCCTCACCTTCTGTAGATTGGGAAGGATTACGATCAAAAGCCTTACTACTACCGCTCTGTTCCCGGAAAGAATTTGCCTGGTCCAACTCCTGGCTTTTCGACACTTTTTAAGGTCGGATTCCCCTCATTCTCGGAACATGCTTCGCCGTACCTCAAACACTTTGCACAGGAGCCGCGTGTTGCGTTTAAATTGCGCCACTACATCTTGGAGTTCGACCTCATCGAGTTCGGCTTCTTCCTGGTCACCGAAGCCATCAGCACTGGGTTCTTCCAAGTGTCCAACGATCAGAGTTTTGGCGTGAAGCCATGTCTGAGGATCTGAAAGTAGATCTCGCGGTATCGGAGGAGGGTGAACACCTCTGATCTGTGGGTCTCCGTCCCAGGTGTTGTTGTCGATATGACCAACCGCAATCGTGGAAAAGTAACGCTTTCTTGCGTACTGTTCCATCAGTCTCTTCTTGCAAGGCTGGTGGACGAATTCGTACATAGCGTGAAGTTCTCGATCTCATTCAGGTGAATAATAGGAAATGATAAGCATTTGAAGCTCAACTGGGAGGGTTTGAAAGGTAGGCATCGTAGCACTGTGACAGCGACTAAGGGCTGTGAGAAGGACAGAGCTGAGAGCGGAGGGCTTGATATGAGCTGAAGTGTGGATCTGTTCTGGTTGGTACCCTTGAAGACTGATCAGAAGCATGGACGATAAGTCATGAAGACGTTGACTTTGATGGTATAGGTGTAGTTGTTGAATGTCTTGTACGGAAAGAGGTGTTGAAATAGGGAGAACACTCACTGTTTTGTGTTCCACTACGCATGGCTGCCAGTATATGTATCTTCAATGAGCTTTGGACTTCATTGGTGTACAACTCCAAAAGGACATTACTACAGATGACACACAAACTAGAGATATTCATACTCCGACGATTTCAGTCACGTGGTAGCGATCAACTAGCATTCGGATTCAGGAAGGCAACTGGCAGGCAGGATTCGCGACTATTATTTGGTCTCATGATCCTAAACCTGATCATTGGCACTTAACACTGGCCATGTATGACATTCCTTGCGGCGATCCTTATGCTTGTTCACACTGGCCATGGTTCATGCATCTCTTCACCCGAAGAACCACTGCAATGAGATTCAGAACGACGACAATGTACCCCCTCCTCGACTTTTCCAGGCCTCTTCCGCTCTTTCCCCGACCGCTCCCGCCCCTCAGTTGCCCTCGAAATTGGTATTTGGATCACGAACGTGCCATCTTAAGAACGACAAAACGTTCCAGTCATCCTCGACAGTACTGCTACGATCCCCAGCCTGGATCTTCATCCACGACTCCCACACATGGGGTGGCGGATTGCTCTCCCCGAACATAGTCTTTTTTATCCACGGCTGCTCGCCGTTGTGGAGGTATGGCCCTTGATTATGACGACGGATTGCCTGCCTTACGGGACAGTCTAGTTCGGTGCAACGAGGCGGCGTTGGTGGAACTCGGGGAGCCTCAGGCCAGACAGGGTTGTCGGGTGCGTCGGAAAGTTCGGAGTCTGTGTCTGAAGGAGGCGCGTTGCGGAGGAGGGTTGGGGAGTTTGTGAAGGAAGGGTAGACGGGGCTGTCTGGTGCGTCTGAGAGGTCGGAGTCTGAGTCTGGAAGAGGCGCGTTCGGCGGTGGGTTTGAGGCCGCATGAGAGGCAGAGGCTTGCTTGTGGTCTTGCGTACTTGAGGTGGCTGTGGAAGATGCGTTTGAGGTAGAAGGAGAGGCTGTGGGTTGAGCTGTGTTTGGGGTGCTGGACATTTTCGTAGGTACGCTCAGATGTGAGTACTCGCTGATGAGGAAGATTCGTGGTATTGCAGAAGCTCGTTGAGCTCGGCGTCCTTTGATGATAGGGTGACCGGTGCTAGGGCGATGGTTTCAAGTCTGAGGGTGTTATCGAGCTGATTTTATCACGCGTGTCTTCAGAAATGAGACGGTCGGCTTGAGAACAGATGTGTTGTGTAACCGATCACGACTTGTCTTATGCCTAAAGACATCTCATTGTCTCATTCGTTTCTATTGTCATCAGTGAAATGAACAAAGACAATGCTTTTTGGTACTCACAGATCTTTCAGAGCAGTCAGTGTGTGCCAAGTTGTGTCACATATCAGACATTCATAGGCTGCCCGGATCTTAGTGGCAGATATCCCGTTGCTTCACGCCGATTGGACAGAATAATTGTGGGTCACTTACCTTATTGGGTTTCAACTGAATTTTATGCAGAATTCTTAAGGATTACTGGGTTGAATCTTTCCTGATGATATATAATCGACACACAGGTAGTAACAGCACTGAGGACAGTAAGGATGGTCTATCTTTCTTAGCAACCGAATGCGTCGCAATTATATCCTCTATATCGTACCACTTGCTGCAGAACTCCCAGGCAAACCAACCTAGAGAAAGATCGTGTGACTCTAGCACAGCAAGGAAGAACACCTCGAAAGAAATGAAACTCAGAAGATCGTCTAAGTCATTTCCAGCTCCCTGGATGAGAGCCACAACACCCTTCTGATGAACTGGTACTCCTAGACCGTAACGCAACCCGAGAAGACAAGTGCTGGCCCGCATACCGCCGATGAAACTCCAGCCCACTCATCCCATTCAACCCCCCATAATGCAACATCGCAAACGCAATGACCAGGTCATCCTCCGCTTTCGGCTCAGGACGTCCATCGGGCGATATGACTTCACCGTCGCACGTCAGGTGAACCATGTTCCGATACGCATTCCAGATTTCTGGCGGCGGGTTGCTGTGGCCGAAGAGCCCGGTCATTATCTTGTTGTGTCGTTTGCCCATGTGGTGATAGGGGCCTTTGGCGTGCGCCCATCTCATGGGGCATGAGGATTCGAGGCACTGGTTTGAGATGAATGCGCGTGGGATGCCGAATTCGAACTTGAGTGCAACGTCTCGGGCTTCGGAGTCGTGTGGTCGGAACTTGAGATCACCTGCAGACTCAACGTCCGGTAAGGAGGTGACGGATCCAGAATCATCTCCTTCATACTCATCCGGCTCCGGTTCGGGAATCCTGAGCTTGAGACCAGATTCGCCGAAGCTCCGTTTGAAGTGAACAACGGGGTCAGTTGGCAGTCTCACGAATCTGGCAGGTGCTGATGGCTCTGAAAGCTTCTTTCTGTGGCCAGCGGCTACCAGATCTCGCGCTAGGGAGAAGCGAGATGTAGCCCGGGGTCGGTCGGTAGTGTATGGAAATGGACCCTGACTCCTATCAGGCTTGCGACCACTGGACTTGGCGAAAGTTACTTGTCGAAGTGCAGAGGGACGCTTCACTGAGTCCACCGTCGTGGAAGACGAGGCGTGAGAGTTGCGTGTGCTGGACGAAGCTGCGTCAGAAAATGTTGTAGGGACAAGAGTCCTCTGCAGGGCCGCGATTCCATCGGACTGTTGAACACGTCGCCGGACATCTGTCACACTGGCCATAGTATCCATTTTAAAGAAGCCGTCGGCATTCCTGTCAATGAGCTCGCGATTGTGTTTCGAGGCTGTAGGTTTTTGACAATCTTTGAGACACACGGGCTGGGATGAGCAGTTGACTGGACTGAGGTCCTCAACAAAATTGCTCTTTCTGGGTTTTTGGCTAAGCGTGGCATTGCTGATGGTTTTCGCGATAGGAGACCGCTGGTCGTCACCCATCAAGGTAGCAGGGGAGTCTGGATCAGCATTAGCGATTGCTGGGAAGTTTGACTGACGGGTAGCTAGGGGTGCCACGTGCTCTTGTGGGACCACGTCCTCGACTCTTCTGGTGTCCTCGGTGACCACCTCATGGCTGCTTTTCGGATGCTCCATCGGCTCGAGGATATCCGCCGGGCCAAGGTCTACATCGCGGAATGCATCATCAAGCTCGTCTGCAAGCGATTTCTCCATGCTTCGTCTGCTGAATGTTGGTGCTGCTGATGAGGTCGATCCAGCCGATCTCACGGTGTCCATTGTTTGATTGTGTTGATCTTGCTTTGAAGATACTATGAACGAAGTGGGGCGGTATGGATGCAGAGTTGTTTGTCGTGAAGGAGACTTTGGTGCAGCTGCCAATGAGCGAAACAGGAAGAGGGGCTTGGAATGAAAGTGAGTTCCAAGCTTGGTACTTCAACGCTCTAGAGGGTCGTGGGTGTGTCTCAGAACAAAGACGAATTTTTCAAAAGGACATACTGTTTTAGGGCCATTGATTGTAGTCACACAAAGAACGCCATCATTGTCATTGGGCTCTTTTTCTTCAACACAAAGATCATTGTTGAGTTCATGACACTCTGACTACCAACACACTCGACCTCGCCAAGGAGGTACTTTGGCGTTTCTTTCCACAATACTTGATCATTATCACACTCTTTCAAACGTCATACAGAAACTAGGACTGTTCGGCGATCTCGATATAGCATACACAAAAAGCCATAAGTACCGTTTATACCCTGTGCACCGAATCGAAAATCTACCACATACACCCCAAAGCCAGAGCCTGAAGAGAAGATGGCGGATCGGCCTGGCACTCATAGAGCCAACATTATCGTCGACGCGAACGTCGAAAGCTTTCGGAACGTCACACGGGATGCTCTCAATCAACAAGTTCAAGCAGTCATGGCAGATCTTGAGGTAGCATACCAAGCGCGTGTCCATGACAATGCACAAGCTCATGAGGTCCAGATCTCAGTGAACATCAACTACAGTCTTCGCCCACTTACCAGCCAGGCTGATCTAGATGATCAAATTGCTTGCCGCAGCCGCGCGGACATGGCCCACGAAACTGCTCAACTGAACTTGGACATCGGCGTCCATGCTGGTGAAATCAATCAGCAAGACACAGACGATTTCCTAGATGATGAATATCCTCCAACGCTGTTCTCTTCAGCTGCAAGATTGCTGGATTCGCTGCCCGTTGTCAATCTTGCTCATCTCAAAGAAGAATCCCAAGATTGCCCTGTTTGCCGGGAACCCTTTTCCGGGTCAGAATATAGCGAAGTGGATACGCCGGTCTTGCTCCATTGCAATCATATTGTCGGCCGGGCCTGTGTCGAGCAATGGCTGTCAGGTGATCACAATTCATGCCCTATGTGCCGTGCAGCGATCTTTGAGCCAGCCGTGCTTACGGCGCTGGCAAACCAAGAACGGTCGGGGGACCGTTCAGGTTCTCTTTATCATGTCCAGGCGGAAAATTTCGCAAGAGAGGATATCGACGGCCGCGCAAGACCAGAGTGAAATGGGGTTCATGCCGTGGGCGATGACACCGAAGTGGCATTGCCTGAGGCCCAAGTGCTCACCGTGCTGACAAATGAAGAGCAGTTGGAGACCGGAGGATCTGAACCACACGACCCACACGAGGTTGAAATGTGACTCTTGGCACTGGAGAGGGAGAAGTTCGAATAAAGCGTTAGATTGGAACAACTCCGCGCTAGTCCACCGACGAAGAGCGCCTGGCAGCGATAGGTACGCTTGTTCGGGCCACGGCGGAAAATAGCACACGGGTTGTGACCTTTCGGACGCAGATGTTAAGCATGAGTTAGACGTGAGATTTTTCATGAAGAGTTGGAGGATCAGAGTGCGTTTCTGTTTCAGATTGCTAGTTTCCCCCGGTGATCATGAGGTAGAGTGCCGGAAGGTTTACTGAACACTTCGTTGTGCGTTCCCGCTTGAAAGTTAGCATACTCAAGGTTATGTAGTCTATCAAGTACCAGACTAATAGACGCACATGATACGGCCAATATATCTTTCAACAAACCAAGTCTGATGATAGATCGTCTATTCGCATGGAGACGGTCAAGCCTGTGACTTTTCTCTCTCTACGTACCCCCAAATTTGAAGGATATCTCTTATGTACAAAAAACCTCGTGTGTTCATCATCTGCGCGCGAAGTGACAGAGGAAATGGTCATTGTCATCCTTTTTGCTCTACCACGTCTCCGGGACCATGTCAATGGCTTTTATAAGAAATATATCGGAGATAAACCTACTGTCTGTGCGTACACAAAGAACAATCTCGTTGTTATCCTGCTACCTGTCCCCCAGTACAAGGGGCTTTGTTGGGCTTTTAACACTATCTTATTTGACACATCTCATCTTCATGGACTACACAAACTTTGGACATCTCTTTCATTCTTCTTAACGGTTCCACAGAGCATCCAACATCCAACATCAACATAAAAATAAACATTACAGTCAACTCCCACTAGCGGTATTGCTTTCAAATCGACATGGCAGATCGGCTTGGCTCACATGCTATCGAGGATCATCAGGACCCTGATACGGCTCAACTCAGCCTGAATGCTGGTTCCGACAGTGAGCAACTTTCAACAGCTGAGTCTGAGAGGCCATCACCACCTGAGACTCAGAGTCTCCCAATACCTGAGACAGAACCCTCCCGGGCTCGAAGACTGTTTCCGTCTTCGAGGTCAGTAGCAGCAGCGTTTCTAGAGTCTCTTCCCATCGTCAAACCGGACAACTTGCCAGAAAACTCTCAAGACTGCCACATCTGCAAAGAACGCTTTGACAACCAGGACCCAGGGGTGGTGCCAAACAATGAATTTGCAGTGAAGCTACCATGCGATCACATCATGGGATCCAAGTGCCTCGCAAAATGGTTCGAAAGCAATAATTCCTGTCCTATGTGTCGTGCAGCCTCCTTCAGCCAGGATGTGTCACCACACGCGGAGCTGCTAGGTGCCTTGCATTTACACTTATTGTCATGGTCGGCAACCTCAAGGCACCTGGCACGCGAAGAGCAAAGAGAGACACTAGCGGCTTCCGTGAGTAGTAATGAATTGGACATGCGGAGTCTTTCGGCACTTGCAGCGGAGAACACTGGGCATCTTACCAGACTGTCGGAAATTCAGGCAGGTCCGGAGAACGAGGAGAGCTGGGCGGAGACTGCTCGAATCGGGGGCAGGATTAGAGCAAACGATGCACGGCTCAGGCAAATTGAACGCCGATTCCGATTCCAAAGGAAGGGAGCTCAGGGTGGGCCTGGTCTTTGATATTTGAAGTTTGTACTGTTGTAGAGGTTAGACTGTGTTTGAGGAACCCAGACCGCATGTAATTTCGAGCATGGCTTACTTGGTGTCACGGGTTTTGGTTAGTTTGGTACTCCTAGATGACATGATAGGGTGCATTCACTTGAGAAACACCTTCGAAATTAATGCAAAGTGCTAAGAGAGAATCGGTATTGCTAATTATAGTAAGAGCGTTTCTTAGACCCTGTGCACTTCTTTCTTAACTGCCGTCGACGTTAATTTCGTAATAAGACGTACTACACATCTCTTCCTGCGGGCACGAAGAATGTCAAACTCTTGTTTTTAGTCTATTCATGTCACGGTTACAGACCTTGTACAACACCATGCGACCTGGTTGGGCCCAGCGTGGCTTGGCAATATCGTACGGCCTTCACTGTACAACAGACCATTGAGTCCCTGATACTCCGTTACCACTCGCTCACTACAATCCTCTCCAGCTTCCATCACTCTTCCCAGTAACACTTCTAATCTTGAAATATCACTTTTGACACAGCTACATTCATTACGATTCCCTAATTGCGACAGAAGTTTGAGACTATCACAAACCCAGAGAACGAACTCGGGTTTCCTTACCTTACGCATCAACGAACTGACCGCAAAGGGCCCGGAGTCTACAAAAGCCATGGATCTCCCGAGCGTCTCTGAGAGGTTAGCCCATATTGAAAGCCCAAATCGCGATAATCCTATCGTCCTTGCCAACGTTCGCACTAACATCCGCGGAACTTTTGGATTCGACGCTCCTGGCCCAGTCTCTCAACACCAAGACTCCGATAGGTCGATTAATCGCTCTCAGTTACGAGATCGGAGAAACGAAATTCGTAGCCGTCTCGCTCAAGCCAGAGTAGACGCGATGGACACCGGTGCTTTGGAGACATCGAATATCAGAGCCAAGACTTTCCTAGAATCCCTCCCGGTCCTCTCGCTCACCGATCTTTTGGAAGACAAGCATGATTGCCCGATATGCATCGAGCCATACCAAGATCCTCAGCACAGTGAAAGCCCAGTGCGCCTCCCGTGCAACCATATCATTGGCAAGGACTGTCTGCTAAGCTGGCTGACGTCCTCCGCGCTGAACACCAAAAACAACACATGTCCAATATGTCGCGCCGTCTTATTCGAGCGCAACAAAGTCGCACTTAAAGATCAGCTGGGTATTCTACGCAGAAGCCTGAGTCATTTCCGGAACGCCCATGGGCCGAGAATCTCAATGGATGAAACCCTGCGGAGGAATGAAGAGCACGAGAGGACACATGACCATCTCACCCAAACGAGTGCTGCTCGGTGGCGGCTTATGCAGGCTCACAATGTTCAATGATGGTACGGGTGGGTTTGGTGACAGTGGATACGGAGATGTGGCCACGACAAACATTGCAGGAGCGTGTCGAGCGCAACGAAGGGGAACGTGAGGGACCGTGTGGCTTTGGATAGGGTCTTAGAATCAGGATGCTCTTCGTCTCAGATTCAGCGATCCCCAAGCTCGTTGCTTCAGCTGTCGAGGACCGTGAGGGAGATCTTGTGGGCTCGACGGGCTGAAAATCGGCGGATCCTATTCATGGCATGGCTCTTAGGTTGTCAGTCCCTCTTCAGATAGGATGAAACCCGTGCGGTGCCCTGCATATGATCAGTGGCTATCGAAGTACTTTCTGTCGTCAGCTCATCATCTACCCCAGAACACAGCATTTCGTCTCCGACCGAGTGCCGCCTTTTCATTGTCATGCCTTATCTAGAGAGTCATGGCTGTAGAGTGTGTGCGAGCTGTGACTTAGCGACAATGAGCATTGTTTACGAGATTCCTTTGTTCACAGCCGTTTTTGAGACAAGAGTGAATCAAGAGATTTTGTCAATGCACCTTTGTTAGTAGAGATTCATTCTTTATGCATCAAGGAATAACGCAATTGTTGCCATTCGTTTTGCTTTGCTGACAATGATCTTTGTTACTGACTTTGCACCACACCCGTATATATTGGCTTGACAGTATTCTTGTGTTAATAGATCCTCCTTCATCTCAGTGCACAGCTTCAACTTCCTCCCAATCACATCAACTCACCTCGTTGAACCACCGTCAGCTCTCACTACCATCGTCCAGAAGATCAAAGTTCCAAGCAAAAGTTAAGTTTCAAGAGATGGCAGGGGAGCGTCTTCCTACTTTGTCAAGCATGGAACGTAATTCACGCGGTGAAAGTCCACGACCGCGCCCGATCTCAGTCATACATCGCGACATCGAGCAAGCCATCGCAGAGCTTGAAATGAGCAATGAAGAACATGGTTTGGAAATGGCAGAAATCCACCGTGCTATCGATCGGCTGGATGCTGAAATAGCGCTTCTTTCGAGAGATGAAGACGATCTATACTACCCCGACGATTCAAGTCTCCTGGATCTTATCACCCCTTCGTTGCCAACAGGAGAATCGTCGGAGGAAAATGTCTCCACGCAGGCAGGGACAAAGTTCGTTGACCAGCTTCCAGGCATGAACTTGAAGGACCTACCGAAGGACAGCAGCTGCAATATCTGCATGGATCCCTTCAGCAGCACCGAAGACCCCGAACTGCCTGTCCGACTTCCATGTGGCCATGTCATAGGCCGGAACTGCATCTCCAAATGGCTGGCGACAAGCAACAGCTGTCCGCTATGCCGACGTGTTTTCTTCGAACCAGAAGTGCGGAATCCACCGTTGACTGAGACGGAGCTAAGGGCTATGCTTCAAACAACTCGACCGGCTACCGAGACGGACCTGGATGAACGCGTGGTATTAGCGAGTCTGAGTATGCAAGATGTAGAGTCCTTCGGAAGGGAACTCAACGACATCACGCGCCAGCAGATTGCAATGGAGAGGAGGCTGGCTAGCTTTGAGGCACAGAGTACTCCGCTGACCCCTGGGAGTGAAATGCAACTCAGAGAGCTCATGGCGGATAATGTGGAGCTGCATGCGAGATTGGGGGATTTCAGTATTCGTCATCGGGAGTTGATCGAGAGTCATGGGATTCAACTTCCCAGGGTAGGGCGATTCTTCTCGGGGCTGTAGTCGAGACAATTGGGCGGTGAGACGGTTGCGAAAGAAATGGGTACGATGGGTTGTGAATAGTAAGTAGGTGGTCTTGTATCAATGGGAATGCGCCTTAAGAGGTTAAACTATTCTTGTGTAACATGGAAAGGTTATTGTAGTAAAAGCCAGTGTACCTGCTGAAGTAGACTGATATGTGATTACCTTATAGACCCGCAAGACCTGAAATCATATGAGTCATGTTGTCGATCTTTTCCGCAGCTAGAACTGGCCAACGTTAGAGCATAATTGGTAGATATCTTCCGAAATAGCCTTTTCAGTTATATCAATACCAGCCTCCTCCACCAACAAGTAGCACCTATGCAATAGTCTCAGGTAGAAAGCCTGCGCGCTCAGTCACCGTCGAATACTGCTTCCTGTGCGAGCAAGTCTTCACAGATACACAAAATTCGGTTCTGGAAAACATGCCATAGCTCCATAGCTTCACGACTCAGCAGCCTCTGTTTTGCACCTTGTTTCTCCACGGCTTGTCGTCAATATAATACCTTGCGAGACGAATGATGCAAGATCGATTCCAGAACGACACGTGCCTTGCCGAAGTTCTGTCGACCTATCTCGATTCCCTCTCTCAGATTTTGGCTGGAGACGTATCCATCTATATACCCATCTTTTCATCAAACTTAGTTGTCCCCCAACATCTGCGAAGCCTGTAGTGTAATCGTTGCTTGACAAGACCATATTTTTGCGCTTGTGAGAACTGAACAGCGCATGCAGATTTCTAATCTATATAGCACTGGTAATCATGGAGCCCCATGTGTCCATCGCCCACGAATCTGGCAAGTCCTCCTTGTCCGTGGAGGCTTCCACTTTGCCAGCAACGTATGCTCCATTCTTAGATCTTCTCTCAAAAGCAGAATTCATCGTACGCCGCCCACATCTACCGACCACCGGCGATGTGAGGCCTCCCAACGCAACATCCGAGGACGATGTCACGACTGTACGCGCTGTGGCCTTCGACCTAGCTAGCGCCGGCCATCCAATCATAGTCCTTGCGCATTCTTATAGCGGACTCGTTGCTTCCGAAGCTGTCACGGAAGAACTATATGCGAAGCATGGAAACGCAGGCGTCGTCAGACTCATCATATTTGAGTGCTTGGATGATTCAGTCAAAGTCTGCCTTACCCCAGTCGTTCGAGAAAAACGGATACCAATCTAATTTGGAATTGGCTGCAGGGTTTGCTGGATCGAAACCGCGATTAGGCTGGGAGGTGATCGTACGGTAGAGATATGGGTGTGTGGGTGTTGAGATAGGCTGGCGTCTTGGTTTTTGGTGGTAGAATCAGTGCCATTGTTTCGCCAGAATTCAAACTGCCGTTTTTAGTTGTTCAACACATTGTTCTATGGTGGAGGGAATCTAGTATCGAGAATGCATGATGCCCGAGAGTGTCGAATGAGCCAGATATGGAAACCGCCTTCTGGCACAGTCTTGCCCAAACCATGACAATGTCCCGAGGAGATGTTTGCACTAGGCGGTCTCTTTGGCCAGGTCTCCGTGGATTGCTACCCGTGAGGCGTAACAGAGACAGCGAAAGGCCGAAGCGCCCACCAGGCTTGTCATCTTTTTGGCCTGGCTCCGGATTTTGCCAGATCCAGCACGTTCTCAACACACTTGACGTGAACACAACAGAGCTGCGCGTAACACACCTCTGAGCATAACACGTTGAATCGAGTATAAGTAGTCATGCGGCAGCACTGACCTGGTCTTCTTTCTACATCAAGGCACCAAGAAAATCCAAGCAGAGAACTTACCAGGTTGTATCCGAACAAGTTTATATTGCGAAAGAAAAATTTATACCTCACCATTAAAAGAGCCACCTGCTCCACAGGGACGCCACTCAAGACTAGGAGGTCATGCCTCCAAGCTGTCTAGTCGAGAATTTCCTCAGTTCGCTTCCGGTCGTCAACCTGGAAGACCTATGGGCTCAACGGCAGTGTGACATATGTCATGAGTCTTTCTTCGAATGGGCGGAGAAACCGCTGAAGCTCCCGTGAGTACCTCTTGAATCTCGTCTCCAACGGATATTGCTGTGGCTTGCACGCGGTATTCCTTTAAGCAGGGTGTCCCTCAACATATTACGAAGCTCACAAGCTACGTACTAGAAACAGAATGCTGACATAGAATTGCTAGATGCGGGCACATCTTCGGAAGTAAATGTATCGCCGAATGGCTGTCCCCCACTGCGGTTGACCTTAAACCAAAGAACACTTGTCCCATATGTCGAGAGGTGCTCTTCTCACAATCTGGACGGCGATTCTGGGACAGTACTTCGCTTGTACCAGGTACGCGCGGAGTACGTCTTCCGGTTCCTCTCCTCACCTCCGCAGCCCGTGGTGGCCGTCAGAATGCAATCATTCATCCTGGACTTCTTGCTCGTCTGGCAGAGGCTCAAAATCGAGGTTCTGCAGGGGGCCGAAATGCACCCAGCCCAGTTGCAGAGGCACTAGCGTCACTTCGTGCCATCATCAGAGAGCTTCCGGGTAACAAAGCAGGGAGAGAAACCGCGGAATCGATCCCCGTTTCTGTGATCGACGATGCAGTGCACTCGCTTGCTGCGCAAATGGGCCGTCTTTATGAACATCATGAGCCACGAATAGACGAGGAGACGACTAGTATTTCTTGGGATTCGGAAGGTCCGGAGGTTTCATTTCTGCGGGACCCAGTGTGGGCGCGGTGGTGTGAGTGGCAGTTGCAGGAACTGGTGTACATGGAGCTCAACACGGTATAGGGCTCTCTGCCACATCTTCAGCTAAGGTCTTCGAATTATGAGGGGTGAGCATCTGGTATCTGTTGGAAGTGGATACCATGGTCCTGTAGAATTGGCGTTGTCCACAGTTCGATTGCTGATTTGAAGCCATGTTGGAATTCAGCATCTCAGCCCTATTGTGCTTGGCAATAACTATAAGTAGCACACAAACTCTATAGAAAAATAATAAGCCGTCATTAATTTCATTAGGTTATAAGCTCGGTTTGACGAAAATCGTTATTATAACGACTTCCTTCGTAAGATTATTAAAGATATTCTTATATCGTATAATTTAGTTATAGAGATCTCGATCGACGTTCGCTACGTTAATATAAGTTACTATCTCTACGACTTCTTAACGTAATTTTATATCTTATAGATTCTACGATACGATATCGATTATAATATTATTAAAGATAGAAAGTTAAGAGACTTAAAGGGCTAGGATTTAGGGAGAAAAGTAAAAGCGTATTAGATAAGGTGTCAGGACCAGCATAGGTGCGATACCAGTATGGGTGAGGTAGAACTAGGATAATAAGGCTACCGAACTATGTATGTGGGAAGGAGGCATGATATGGTAGGGGATGCCTCCGCCAAGGCCCGCTAGCCATAGGGCTGAGTGGTGTGTCAAGGGTACGCTCGTAACAGTACTCCCCCCTCTCAAATAGCCATGGCCCCCATGGCTGGTAGACCGGAGATGCAGGCCCATTGCTTGCCTTGTATCTCCAAACATCCATAGTCCGTGTAGGCCTCGACCAGAGAGGATTTGCCGAGGTGTAGCGGTATTGCCGGGCCGCATGCTGGTCTTGACTGTGCCATGCCTGCATTGTCCTTCAGAGATCCTGGAGATGTAGCCACATCTTGCCTGCGTACCAGCAAGATTCTCCGAGTTCTTCTCCTTGCCCAGTCTTCTTGCCATAGTCCTTCTTGCCATAGTCCTTCGGTAGAATTGAAGAAAATCCAACGCATGCATTCACCTCCAACACCTTTTGGCAGCCTGGCCTGGGAGCTTCACTGTAGATTTGCCCTGTGTCTCCCATGCTCTTGCCATCAAGTCCATCCATTCCATCCTTTGTCTCAACTCGTAACCATCTTGCTCCGTAGTGCTATCCATTGCATCCATCCGCTTTGTAAGCCTACCGCTTCGACTGCCGGTACCCCGTAGGCCTACCCGTCCTAAGCTGCCATAGCGAGTACTCAGCAGCCAATGACCTGACTGACATAGACCACTTCCGTAACTCAAGCACTTGCCGATTCGTAGGTGTGGGAGGTGGAAGAATCGAATGTGTTGAATGCCATTTGGTAGCAGGCTCACTATGTGTGTTGTCGACATGCTCAGTGAAGAGGTCGGTTATAATCGTATTGCCGGGTCTGTTCTCGTCGCCATTGTAGCAGGCTCACTATGGTGTGGGGGGGTGTTGTTTTCCGTCAGTTTCTTTCTGATTCGCCTGCAGTACGAATGGTCCAGCGGTGCTTTATCCCTCCTGCTGTCCAGAGGCCGTTCCGTCATGCCGAAACGAATTACCCGTTTGGTGGGCTGACCCAAGGATACGATGCCTTAAGTTCCTATCTTGACCTCAACCGGTTGTGGTGTCTTGGTCTTAAGTTAGTATCTTGACAAAGCCCTTGCCAGCGCGTTTGTTTATTAACCATTCGTCCGCTAATCCGAATGGGCGTGAGTGTGCGTTGATTGGCCCGTATGTGTTTCTCTTCGCCGGGTGTACGAAGGAGCCTTATTATAATGTCAGGACCAGCATAGGTACGATACCAGTATGGGTGAGGTAGATAGGATAATAAGGCTACCGAACTATGTATGTGGGAAGGAGGCATGATATGGTAGGGGATGCCTCCGCCAAGGCCCGCTAGCCATAGGGCTGAGGGCTGAGTGTCAAGGGTACGCTCGTAACATAAGGTAATTAGAGGAGGACTCGATAGTTTAGAAAGATATTAGATATTAGAGTTAGATGTTAGTATTAAAGTTAACGTTATCTATACCCGATATTAGTATTAAAAGCCCATATTTTTCGAAGTCAAATTAGTTACTCGATATACTCTATAGTAAGTTATCTCGAAAAGCCCTACTACGGTAGATATTGTTGAAATGTGGCTCCCGCGCATCCCAGCCACCATGTTTTCCAGCCACCTGATTTTGTACTGTATTTAGGACCTGGCCCCGGAGAGGTTTTGGAGAATCAATCCGTCCGTTCTACACACCACATATCTAATATTCTAACAGGTTATGAGCCCGGTCTGCAGGGCATACAGGCTAAGTCGCTATAATGCCAGCTTCCTACAAAGACTAATTCAGGTAACAGAGTCATAACTACGTCGTCGCATCGTCGCAAAGAACCCTCGTCGTCGCAAAGAACCCTCGTCGTCGCAAAGAACCCTCGTCGTCGCAAAGAACCCTCATCGTCGCAAAGAACCCTCGTCGTCGCAAAGAACCCTCGTCGTCGCAAAGAACTCAGTCACACTGACGAGCGAGCTGTGGAATAGAAAGAATAGAGAGGAACGTCGCGAAGGACTACAGACAATTCAATGGAGACACGTACCAGTGTGGCATACAAGTTCTATGTGGAATGGCTACATTACTCCGAGGTGGAGTATCACGTCTTACTCTTGTTACCCAGGAAGGGTGTTATGCTCCAGAGGTATGTCATATTACCCCAGGAAGGGGTGTTACGTCAGAAAGACGTGTTACCTAGGATGGGTGTTACGTCAGGAAGACGTGTTACCCAGGATGGGTGTCAAATGTTACGTCAGGAAGACGTGTTACACCAGGATGGTGTGTGATATGGCTGGAATGGCCTGTTGTTGAAAGGCTGGAATGGCCTGTGAAAGGCTGGAATGGCCTCTTGTTGAAAGGCTGGAATGGCCTGTTGTTGAAAGGCTGGAATGGCCTCTTGTTGAAAGGCTGGAATGGCCTCTTGTTGAAAGGCTGGAATGGCCTCTTGTTGAAAGGCTGGAATGGCCTATTGTTACGGCTGGAATGGCCTGTTGTTACGGCTGGAATGGCCTGTTGTTGTTACGGCTGGAATGGCCTGTTGTTGTTACGGCTGGAATGGCCTGTTGTTGTTACGGCTGGAATGGCCTGTTGTTGTTGAGGCTGGAATGGCCTGTTGTTTTGTTGTTGTTGAGGCTGGAATGGCCTGTTGTTGAGGCTGGAATGGCCTGTTGTTGTCGAAGGCTGGAATGGCCTGTTGTTGGGAGTTGTGTATAGCTTCATTTCTTGTTGGGTGGACTGGGAGCGTGGCTGCAGGGGAGTGTTGAAATGTGGCCCCCGCGCATCCCAGCCACCATGTTTTCCAGCCACCTGATTTTGTACTGTATTTAGGACCTGGCCCCGGAGAGGTTTTGGAGAATCAATCCGTCCGTTCTACACATCACATACCTGAAATTCTAACACGATCTTCGTCGTCTAGTAGCTATAGAATCTCTTTCTTAATTACGTTCGCTAATTCTTTAGCTATCGAGAGTTCTCTCTCTTTCTTAATATAGACTTTATTAACTCGTAGATAATCTCGTAGAATAGTAATAACGTTTTTATCAAGAACCTCGAAGTTCTCTTTAATATATTAAACAAAGTCGTTAGCAAAGACGTCAGAGAGTATTCTAAATTTATATCTTATATATTATTATATCCTCTAATAGACGAACTTTTAAAGTTTCTCTTTAGTATCTAATAATTTAACTTCTAGTAGTTTCTCTAACTTACGCTTAATTATAATATCTAATAATATTTCTAAAGAATTAATCTCCTTCTTCTATTATTTAAAGTCTATTTTAATATATATTATATATTAATATAATATAAAGCTTAATAATATTTAATATTTTCTAGATATTTTCTCTATTAAATAGAAGTTATAGAAATTATAGAAATTATAGTTTTATTTAATTAAATCGTTATAATAAGCGAAATCGATTAAGTAATATAGAAACGTGTAAAGTATCGCAGCGATATCGGGACGAATTTCCTTTAGAATATAGTCTTATTAATCTATATATTAATATTAAAGTATATTAATTAATATTAATAATATATAGATATATAGTTACTACTATAATAAGACTTATTATTAAATATAGTATTCTTAATAATATCTAAGAAAGAAGAATATCTATATATAGAGAAGATCTTTATATACTAATAACTAGATCGAATAAGTACTAGTAATAGCGAGTATTAAGTCGTTTTAATAATATAATATCTTACGAGACGAATAATGCAAGGTCGATTCCAGAAAGATACGTGACTTACCGAAGTTCTATCGATCTATCTCGATTTCCTCTCTTAGATTTTAATTGAAGAAGTATTTATCTTTATATTCTTTCTTTTATTAAACTTAGAGCCCCTTTAATAATTAAATTTAATTATATTTTCACCTTACATTTTTAATATTCTAGATTATAAAAATACGTACTATCGTTTAATTACTATATTCTTATATTCTATACTTATAAATTAATAATTTTCTATTATTAAGAGTTAAATATATAGAGTTTATTATATTTATTAGTAAATAAGATCTAGGACTAGTTAGCTAATAAATATACGCTAAGCGAGATTTATATCGCTAGATTTAGAGCTATAATAGAGTTATATATATTATTATAATAAAGAATAATAGCTAGTAAATCGAGGAAGTCGTTATTACTACTATTTTTATTACTACTTAATATTATTTCTATTACTATAATAAAATAACACGTTATACTTCTATCTTAAGTAGTTATATATATATTTAAGAGCTTCTTTATTATAATTATACGTTAAATATTTAAAACGTTTTTCGTATATTATTATATATTCTAGAAAAGCTTTAAAGTTAATTATTTAATTATATTAATCTAGCTTCTACTCGTCTTATTAGAATTATAAAGAAATTAACTATTTTTATTAGAGTAGTAAGCTATAATCTTAATAATAAGTATCTATATAATCGCTTTTAGTATTTAGACGAGATTATTAGTTAATACTATTACGAAGTTATAAAGACTATATATATATTATATTAGAAATTTATCTAACTATTAACGACTTTATACTCTATTTTAGAAAAGATCTCTTTTAATTTAAAATTTACGCTTTATTTTAATAATTATTTAGAAGTATTAGATAATATTTATATCGCTATTTACGTATTAATTACTAAGTATATACCTTAATAAAATAGAAAGAGTACTTTAAGTTAAAACTGTTGAAATGTGGCCCCCGCGCATCCCAGCCACCATGTTTTTGGCCTCCGCGCATCCCAGCCACCATATTTTCCAGCCACCTGATTTTGTACTATATTTAGAACCTGGCCCCGAAGAGGTTTTAGAGAATCAATCCATCTGTTCTACACATCACATACCTGATATTCTAACAGGTTATGAGCCCGGTTTTGACGCTGCTACTATACCTCGCTGCTATTATATTATCTTACTATCATATCGCCTACTATCGTACCTCTACCTCGCTACCACTATATCTCAACGCGCTATTCTCGACCTATTCTTTAAGTTATCTATTCGCCAACTATATGACGATAACTATTCCGAATAGCTTGTGGATATATATGCCTTACTACGTAAATAGAAGCTATAAAAGTATACTTAAGAGACCCCCCCCGAGTTACTAACCGTAACAGCCCTAGTTAAGTAGAAAGAATCCTCTATAAAGACTGCCGACGTTATAATATCTACCGTTAACGGCTTTGTCAAGTAACGGCTTACCATTAACGAGTTTAACTATAGCTTTCGAATACTATCTCGATTAATTACACTCTATCAACCTACGGGTAACGGAGAATTTATACGACTTACGAAAGAATTCTATACCTTGAAATACACTAGCTTCGAAACGATATTCGAATATCTTATCTATATTAAGCTACTCGAAGAACGAATTACCGCTATAAACGTTATTCTTACCCCCGATAAATAAACTAT